GCTGGCTTTACCTAGAAAAATAGTAAATAGAAACAATATTGCACTCCTGGAGGGATTGCAGAGACTGGTGCCACCATCAAGAACTTGAAAGATGCAGGGGTGGTGGTTCCCACCATGTTCCCATTGAACTGTCCTATTTGGCCTGTGCAGAAGACGGATGAATATTGGAGGATGTCAGTGGATCATCGTAAGCTTACCCAAGTGGTGACTGCGATTGTAGCTGCTGTGCCAGATATGGTTTCATTGCTTGAGCAAATTGACACATCTCCTGGGAGCTGGTGTGCAGCCATTGACTTGGCAAATGCCGTTTTCTCCATTCCTGTCTGTAAGGCCCACCAGAAGCAATGTGCCTTCAGCTGGCAAGGCCAGCAATATACCCTCACTGTCCTACCTCAGGGGCGTATCAGCTCTCCAGCTCTATGTCATAATATTGTTTGCGGAGATCTCGATCACTTTCCCTTCCACAAGATATCACGCTGGTACATTACATTGATGACATTATGCAGATTGGACTCAGTGAGTGAGAAGTAGCAAACACACTGGACTTACTGGTGAGACATTTGTGTGCCAGGGGGTGGGAAATAAATCTGAAATACATTCAGGGACCTTCTACCTCAGTGAAATGTTTAGGGGTCCAGTGGTGTGGGGCTGTCAGGATACTCTTTCTAAGATAAAGGATACGTTGCTGTGTTTGGCCCCTCCTACAGCCGAGAGAGAGACACAACACCTAGTGGATCACCTAGGATTTGGAGGCAATGCATTCCTCATTTGGGTGTGTTACTCTGGCCCACTTATCCTGTGACCCGAAAGGCTGTCAGTTTTGAGAGGGGTCCAGGACAGGAGAAGGCTCTGCAACAGGTCCAGGCTGCAGTGCAAGCTGTTCTGCCACTTGCGTCCTATGACTCAGCAGATCCAATTGTGCTTGAGGTGTCAGTGGCAGACAGAAATGCTGTTTGGAGCCTCTGGCAGACCCCCATAGGTGAATCACAGCAGAGGCCTTTAGGATTTTGGAGCAAGGCCCTACCACCTTCTGCAGATAACTACTTTTCTTTTGAGAGACAGCTCTGGGCCTTGGTAGAAACTGAGCATTTGACTATGGGTCAGCAATTTACCGTGTGACCTGAACTGCCTGTCATGAACTGGGTGCTTTCTGACCCATCCAGCCTAAAGTTGGGTGTGCACAGCAGCATTCCATCATCAGATGGAAGTGGTATATATGTGATTGGGCTTGAGCACGTCCTAAAGGCACAGGTAAATTACATGAGGAAGTGACTCAAATGCCCATGGTTCCCACTGCTGTCACCCTGCTTTCTCTCTCCCAGCCTGTACTGATGGCCTCATGGGGGGCTCCCTATTATCAGTTGATATTTTGGTGTGTCACCTGAGCTTCATTTTCCTCAGTTGTTAAAAAGGATACCTGTACCGTCTGTGCCTCCCCTTCACCTTATTGTGAGGACGGAATGATATGTATGTGGAAGCACCTTATTGGTTGTAAAATGCCGTTGGAAACTGTGGTAATGGTGGTGGTTGTATTGTCATAATCATTGTCTTAGTGTCTTAGTATAAAAGCGGTTATGCTTTTGCTCTTAATGCACTGAACTTAATTTCTACCCTGTATTCTATATGCAAGACTTCCTTAAAAACATCTATTAGTGTTTAAGTGCTTATACGTTTTTGAAGTTTGTATTGAAACAAATAATCATTATTCTAAGTCTTCTAAAATTATTTTCAACTAAAATTAATTCTTTTTTTTTTTGAGACGGAGTTTCGCTCTTGTTGCCCAGGCTGGAGTGCAATGGCATGATCTGGGCTCACTGCAACCTCCGCCTCCTGAGTTCAGGTGATTCTCCTGTCTCAGCCTCCCAAGTAGCTGGGATTACAGGCACCCACCACCATGCCTGGCTAATTTTTTTGTATTTTTAGTAGAGATGGGGTTTCACCATGTTGGCCAGGCTGGTGTCGAACTCGTGACCTCAGGTAATCCGCCTGCCTTGGCCTCCCAAAGTGCTGGGATTACAAGCGTGAGCCACTGCACCCAGCTGAATTAATTCTTGAGTTCAGAATGCTACTGGTTCATTTCTTTAAAACTTAGATTTTTAAACCATTAAAACTGAAAATATCAGTGAAGATTGTTAATGACTGCTTTTAATTTAGCCAGTTCAGACAGGCCACCAGGCAGGGGATGTAAACTACTGTGGCTTCCCCAAAACACCAAAAATGGTTGTTGTCTGTTTAGGTTTCATAGACATATTTTCGGAGTCGAAGGAAGGCCTTGATGCTCACTCGTCAATGATACTGCGGTTCCTGCACCGCAACCGGCTCTCCAGCGCGGTGATGCCCTACCCAATGCTGGAGCACTGCAAGAACATGTGCACCATGCGGTCTTCCGTACTGAAGGAGTCTCTGGATCAACTGGTACAAAAGGAGAAAGGTATGTGTGGGGGGGTCGTTTCTCCTGAAAATACTCTTACCATTTCTTCTGTCGTATTGGTAAAATGAGCCAAATCTTTTCCCTGCCTTTATTTCTGAAAATGTGAAGTCCTGAGTTTGTAACATAAGAATGTGATCTTTCTCCTCATTCCCTTTCTTCCTTCCTAACACAGCTGGTTTCTCATATTCAATTCTCTGCTCAGATGTGACTTCAGGGATGCCTTTCCTCTCTATCTAATTAACACCTCCCCCACCCCCCACCTTCTGGTCAGATCACCTTGGCAGGTTTAATGGTCGAAAACATGCTTATTGTTATCTGAAGTTGTAGCATTATTGATTCACTTGTGTGGTGTCTGTCTTGTCTGCTTCCTCATTCCTGCTGTGTGCCTGTTGCATGGTAGGTATTCAGTGAGTATTTGCTGGATAAATGAGGGAAGCCACCGCACAATCACTCGGAGATAGCAACAGGAGTTCATGATGTGTGTAGATAGGTCTGTGGAACATAACAGAGCCCAGACATAGACCCGACATACATGTGAGAATAGAGTACCAGATAAAGTCAGCTTTATACATCAGGATGGAAAGGTGAACTGCCAGCAGATAGAGTTAGGGCACCTAGTTAGCCATTTGAAGAAGAAATAAAACTAGATTTTTTTTTTTTTTTTGGAGACTTGAGTTTCGCTCTTGTTGCCCAGGCTGAAGTGCAGTGGCATGATCTCTGCAGCCTCTGCCTCCTCGGTTTGAGCAATTCACCTACCTCAGCCTCCTGAGTAGCTGGGATCACAGGCATGTGCCACCATGCCCGGCTAATTTCTATATTTTTAGTAGAAACGGGGTTTCACCGTCTTGGTCAGACTGGTCTCAAACTCCTGACCTCAGATGATCCACCCACCTCGGCTTCCCAAAGTGCTGGAATTACAGGTGTGAGCCATCACCTGGCTGAAACTAGATTCTTAATACATTCCATTCACTAAAATAAATTTCAGATGATCAAAAAGTTCAACTAAAAATAAAATGCTAAAAATATTGGAAGAAAATAGTTCCACTTTGTAAAGTACGGAACAGCCTTTCTAACTAGGCATGAAATCCAGAATCTGTGAAAGAAAAGATTAATAAATTGGTCTGTATGAAAATTTAACCTTCCTCGCAGCAAAAAATATCATAAGCAGAGTCAAAAACAAATGACATTCTAGGTAACAAAAATACATTTTGTAGCATATTAAAGACACAATTGACTGACTAAATTTTTTAGTAACTCTACTCTTGGGCAATTATTTAACTCTGTGTTCCTTAGTTTCTTTATTTACTTTTTTGTGACAGTCTTGCTCTGTCTCCCAGGCTGATGTGCAGTGATGTGATCTCAGCTCACCGCAACCCCTGCCTCCCAGGTTTAAGCAATTCTCGTGCTTCAGCCTCCTGAGTAACTGGGATTACAGGCACGTGCCACCATGCCTGGCTAATTTTTGTATTTTTAGTGGAGATTGGGTTTCACCATGTTGGCCAGGCTGGTCTCAATCTCCTTACCTCAAGTGATCTGCCTGCCTTGACCTCCTAAAGTGCTGGGATTACAGGCGTAAGCCACTGAGGCTGGCCAGTTTCTTTATTTTTAAAATGAATTAATACATAAAGAATGTATAAAAAGCACATGGCCAGGCACAGTGGCTGATGCCTATAATCCCGGTACTTTGGGAGACCGAAGCAGGAAGATCACTTGAAGCCAGGAGTTTGACACTAGCCTGGTCAACACGGGGATGACCCCATCTCTCCAAAAATTTTTTAAAAATTAGCCAGGCATGGTGGTGCATGCCTGTAGTCCCAGCTACTTGGGGTAAGGCAGGAGGATCACTTGAGCCTAGGAGATCCAGGCTGCAGTGAGCTGTGATCACACCACTGCACTTCAGCCTGAGCAACAGAATGAGACCCTCTCAAAAAAGTCTCAACAAAAAAAAGTGCATGGGTTATAGTAAACACTCAAGTAAATGTTAGCTATTATATATATGTTTATATATACATTTGATCATGTATAGAAAATATATGAATTAACCCAGAAAAACATGGAAGAGGGCAGGACCAGACTGTACTCAGAAACAAGCAGCTTAAAAAGTGTCACTCGGCCGGGCGCGGTGGCTCAAGCCTGTAATCCCAGCACTTTGGGAGGCCGAGATGGGCGGATCACAAGGTCAGGAGATCGAGACCATCCTGGCTAACACGGTGAAACCCCGTCTCTACTAAAAATACAAAAAATTAGCCGGGCGAGGTGGCGGGCGCCTGTAGTCCCAGCTACTCGGGAGGCTGAGGCAAGAGAATGGCGTAAACCCGGGAGGCGGAGCTTGCAGTGAGCTGACATTCGGCCACTGCACTCCAGCCCGGGTGACAGAGCAAGACTCCGTCTCAAAAAAAAAAAAAAAAAAAAGTGTCACTCATCATTTAAAAAGTGTAAATTCAAACTGTAATTTACCGTTTTCTTCTCGGCATGGTTTTGCAAATCTATCAGTGATTCAAGAATTGCACTAATGGGAGACGATGGGGTAATCCTTGGCCAGTGGATTCTTTGGAAGGTGGCATATGATTTTCACGTCCGGTAATACGCCACCGATGTAACAGTTTGAGGGAGGCACTTTTGACACATGTGTGTGAAAATTCACTCATGACACTGATGGACTGAGAAGGATCTGGAAGGAGATTTTAAGGAAGGTTTGTGTTTCTAGGGCCAAAGTACCAAGTGTATTTCTCTTAGGTATTTTAAATGACTCTTTTTTTCCCCTTTGTGAAAGAGATGTCATGTAATCAACTCTGGTTTCCCCTACAGAAAGCCCTGGAGATCTAACTAGAAGCCCAGAGATGGATAAACTCAAGTCAGTAGCAAAGTGCTATGCTTATATAGAAACATCCTCCAACTCTGCAGACATTGACAAGATGACAAATGGAGAAACCTCATCCTACTGGCAGTCGGATGGCAGTGCCTGTTCACACTGGATTCGGTGGGTGGGGTATAATGTTTTCTTCTTAACTGTCTACTCTTTGTATTTTAAGTGGCTGTCTATGAAGGTGCTTTAAGAATCAAGTAAAATGACTCATGTAAAATCACGTGACCTGGCTTGTATATTCATAAACAGATAATTTCCCTGATATTTGAAAGGAGGAAATAATATTTGATTAATTTTAGATTAGTACTGATTTCATATCTGTTTTCACTAGTTTCTCAGGAAAATTAATACCACAAAGAGCAAGAACTTACATGTGATTGTATTTTGAAATATCCTTTCTCTACTCTTTTTTTTTGTTTTGAACAGGATCTTTTTCTGTCACCCAGGCTGGAGTACAGTGGTGTAGTCATAGCTCAGACTCCTGGGTTCAAGCAGTCTTCCTGCCTCAGTCTCAGTAGCTGGGATTTAGGCATGCACTACCATGCCTGGCTAATTTCTTTACACTTTTTTGTAGAAATGGGACCTCACTACGTTGCCCAGGCTTGTCTCAAACTCCTGGCCTTAATCCTCCTACCTTGACCTCCCAAAGTGTTGAGATTATAGGCGTGAGCCACTGCACCCGGTCCCTTTCTATACTTTTTTTATTTCTTTTTTTTTTTTGAGACGGAGCCTTGCTCTGACACACAGGCTGGAGTGCAGTGGCATGATCTCTGCTCACTGCAGCCTCCATCTCCTAGGCTCAAGCAGTTCTCCTGCCTCAGCCTCCTGAGTAGCTGGGATTACAGGTGCCTGCTGCCACACCCAGCTAATTTTTGTATTTTTAGTAGAGACAGGGTTTCACCATGTTGGCCAGGTTGGTCTCGAACTCCCGACTTCCCAAAGTGCTGGGATTACAGGCGTGAGCCACCGTGCCTGGCCTCTTTCTATACATTTTTGAAATTCACTGTGTGTGACTGAGTTGGTCACTTTAGAAGAAGAAATGGTATGGTCAGGAATCCTGGAGTGGAGCTGATGATAATGAACAGTGGTATTTCTGGAAGCTCTGAAGCTGCTATTGAAATTTTCACCTGTCCCCTCAGAAAACAGGCTAATTCCAATTGGTAGAACTAAGTGCCAGAAATAATTGTATTGTTTTCTCTTAGAGGGCACATTTGACCTTTAGACATCTCATTTATAGATGAGAGAATATACTCAGTTTTTTGTATGTGGTTTACAATTTGCTTTTTTGCCAGGTAAAGGGAGTTTGTTAGAATGTTCATATTGTTCTTTCTTCCTGTACAGATAGTTTAAAAGGAATCGTAAGATTAATCTTGAACTGAACGATCTTTTAGAGATGTGGGAAGGCCAAGGTCAGAAGGACTTTGAAACTCATAGCCAGCATTTCAAGTTGGTGGCTGTTAGGAAAATCAGTCTTTGCGTATATCAAATGTAAGCTGTTTGAGATGGGACTTCTGGATCCTGTCAGTTCTTGACTCCTATAAACATTTGTAGTTTCTGCTTTTTGTGTTTTCCAGTTTAAAAATGAAGCCAGATGTTGTGCTTAGGCACTTGTCCATTGCAGTGGCTGCCACTGACCAGAGCTACATGCCACAGCAGGTGACAGTAGCTGTGGGGAGGAATGCCAGCGATCTTCAGGAAGTCCGAGACGTGCACATCCCCAGCAATGTCACCGGTTATGTGACGCTGCTGGAAAATGCCAACGTCAGTCAGCTCTGTAAGTCCAACAGAACTCAGGGGATAGGGAGAGGCAAGAAAGTACTGTTTTTTAGCAGAAGGCCCTTTGAAGTGGAGAGGCTGTTAGTTTTTGAGATTTGATTTGCTTCTTAGGACGTACACAAAAGTGGTCATTGTTTCATTCATTAAGTGTTGTAGAAATTATAGAAAAGCCTCGGGGCCTGCTGACACGCCTATAATCCTAGCACTTTGGGAGGCCAAGGCAGGTGGATCACTTGAGATCAGGAGTTTGAAACCAGCCTGGCCAACATGGTGAAACCCCGTCTCTACTAAAACAAAAATTATCCAGGCATGGTGCTGCACACCTGTAATCCCAACCACTTGGGGGACTGAGGCAGAAGAATCGCTTGAACCCAGGAGGCTATGGCTGCAGTGAGCAGAGATCACGCCACTGCACACCAGCCTGGGTGACAGAGCAAAACTCCATCTCAAACAAAAAAATAAATAAATAAATTATATAAGAACAGTGAAACCATTTTTTTCATTAAAAAATATATATTTATGTATCATATATATTTATATATATATTAAAATATTTATATATATATATATATTTAGACAGGATCTTTTTTTGTCACCCGCGCTGGAGTGCAGTGGTGCAGTCATAGCTCACTGTAACCTCAGACTCCTGGGTTCAAGCAGTCTTCCTGCCTCAGTCTCAGTAGCTGGATTTAGACTTGCACCACCATGCCTGGCTAATTTATTTCCATTTTTTTGTAGAAATGGGGCCTCACTATGTTGCCCAGGTTGATCTCAAACTCCTGGCCTTTATCCTCCTACTTTGGCCTCCCAAAATGTTGGGATTATCAATATATATATAAAAAAATGAATATATATATTTATACATAAATATATATTATGTATGTTTATATGTGTAATATATATGATATATATATATCATATATATGTTCTTTTTTTTTTTTGAGATGGAGTCTCACATTGTTGCCTGGGCTGGGGTGCAATGGCGCGATCTCAGCTCGCTGCAACCTCCGCCTCCCAGGTTCACGTGATTCTGTTGCCTCAGCCTCCCGCGTAGCTGGGATTACAGGTGCCCACCACCACACCTGGCTGATTTTCTGTATTTTTAGTAGAGACAGGGTTTCACTATGTTGGCCAGACTGGTCTCGAACTCCTGACCTCATGATCCACCCGCCTTGGCCTTCCACAGTGCTGGGATTACAGGCGTGAGTCACTGTGCTAGACCATTAAAAATATTTTATTCCCGTTTTCTTATTGGAAAATTAGAAAAATATAAACAAAAATATTCAAGTCCTACTACCCAGCGATTGTTACTGTTTGACTACCTGGGTGTGGACCCTTGCAGACCTTTCCTTGTGTTTGTGTATTTGTGTGTGTGTGTGTGTGTGTGTGTGTGTATGATTTACATACACACACATATATGCACACATATACACACACCTTTTTTCCTAAAAAATAGAGCTGTATGGCCGGGCGTGGTGGCTCATGCCTGTAATCCCAGCACTTTGGGAGGCCGAGGCGGGTGGATCACAAGATCAGGAGATCGAGACCATTCTGGCTAACATGGTGAAACCCCGTCTCTACTAAAAATACAAAAAATTAGCCAGGCGTGGTGGCGGGCCCGCCTGTAGTCCCAGCTACTCAGGAGACTGAGGCAGGAGAATGGCGTGAACCCGGGAGGTGGAGCTTGCAGTGAGCCGAGATCACGCCACTGCACTCCAGTCTGGGAGACACAGCGAGACTCCGTCTCAAAAAAAAAAAAAAAAAAAAAAAATCTGTATGTATCTGTTCACATACATCTATACATATCTTTTTACAAAAATGTTGATAATCTTTTCATGTTCGTTTGTAATTTTTTAGAATGTGTTGTATTCACAAGCACCCTGATTTAGTGTTGTAAAAATATACTGTAATTGGCCAGGGGCAGTGGCTCACGCTTCCAGTCCCAGCACTTTGGGAGGCCGAGGCGTGCAGATCACTTGAGTTCAGGAGTCCTAGACCAGCCTGGCCAACATGGTGAAACCCTGTCTCTACCAAATAGAAAAATTAGCTGGGCATGGTGGTGCATGCCTGTAATCCTAGCTACTTGGGAGGCTGAGGCAGGAGAATCACTTGAACCCGGGAAGCGGAGGTTGCAGTGAGCTGAAATTGCTCCACTGCACTCCGGCCTGGGTGACAGAGCAAGACTCTATCTCAAAAAAAAAAAAAAAAAAAGCTGTAATTTTAACCCACCCCTCATTCTTGGACATTTAGGTTGTTTCCAATTTTATACCGTTATAACCTTGCTTTACACATAGCATTTTGGAAATAATCGCAATTCTGTGATTGCTTTCCGGGCTTACTTCATTCAGGGAGCCGGAATGCTTCATGTTTTATCTCATTTCTTCTAATGCTTTCCTGGGCCAAAAGAAGTATTCTTTGCTCAAAGGAACTGAGGCCTAGGAAGGTAGAGTCTTTGTATCTCACCCCTAGGCAAATAAGTAGTTAGGCCTGTGGACTAGAAGCTTCCTGTCTTATATTGTGGTCTTTTCTCTAAGTTGTGTCCTTTTTAACTTCTTACCTTCTCTCCTCTGACCCAAATAAGAAATTGTGACATCTCTTAAAAGTGAGTCATGTATATGTCATCTGTTTGGATTTGATTATTAAAAATAAATTCTCACAGTTGCTTATAAGCCAGCTACTGTTGTGTAACTTAATCCAAATTTCAGAATCCTAGGAAGAATTCGAGAAATGTTCTTACCATGTATTCAGACAGGCTTGTTTTAAGTTGTTCTTTGTGTAGTTTTTTTCAAGACTCCTAAGTTCCTAAGAAGTTTTGTTGTAAAGACTTAAACCACCCTTAATTTTACATATTATTCTTATGATTTCTTAGATTTGTCAATGCTTTTTGACAAATTTATTATATAGTAGTTCCATTGCACATGCTATTTATTTCTGTCATCAAAGTGTATCTTCAGAATTTTCTTTTCAAAATGTCTATTACTATTTTGCTTTTAGTTGGGAGCCCAGCATTTGCCTAACTAAAGAAGTTA